TGGCCTCAGATGCATACTAACTGTGTGACCCTGGGCAAGTCACTTAACCCTGTTTGCCTCACTTTCCTCATCTAAAAAATGATCTGGAAAGGGACATGGCAAACCACTACAGTATCTTTGCCAAGAAAACCCCAAGTGGGATCATGAAAGAGTTGGCTGTACTCAACAATAACAATTAAGTTTTATCTTTTAACTTAAAATGTGTTATTATTCATCTTGATGAAAATTGCTATGTTCCCTAAAACCAGAGAGTTAAATGAAAAGAAGGGCTATTATATGGAAGAAGAAATTATATGGAAATCTTCTGATTGATCACAGAGGGCAGAACTAGGAACAATGGATGAAGGTTGTGAGAATCAGGTTTCCAATGTAAGGGAAAACTTTGTCACCATTGGAGCTGTCCAAGGTAGGATGGGTTGGGCATCTTACAAATGAACTATTATAAGAGCTAGAAATTATATAGCCCTTGGAGATTTGCAAAGTGTACTCTTTATAGGCACAATCTCATTAGATTAGAACCGGGAGTTAAGTTTGTTAAGTTAAGTTAGAGGGGAATCTATGAGTCATAGGTTAAACTAGATGGCTGAATTTCCATCACTGAAATTCCATGATTCTGTAACTTACAAAAGGGAGGAAGAACACATAGCTAGCAATAACACGGGAGGAAAATGTGTACACCTCACTTTCCTATCAGAGAGAAGAAAACTAGATGCTGTGCCAGGTGGAAAACGAACATCCTTTTTTCCTTTCTTCTTTCTGCAGGTAAACTGCCAAACTTACAAATTATAGTCACCCCACAGATTTCTTCAGATACCTTCAGATCAATCTGGGAAAACAGCAAGAAGTTTGGCGCTGCCCATAAGAAAAAGAAGAAGGTAAGCAAAGAATAGTCTACCTGTTTGGGTAAGTGGATTATCATCAGGAAGGCCACATGAAAGTTAGGAAGTACAGCTGGTAAAGACAACAGGGGTGAGATGTCAGTATGCAATTATAAGAATCACAGCACTTGTAAGACCCATCCAGTCCTGCATTCCATCTCTGGAGTTGGCATTCTCCCGTCTTCTATTGGAAGGGCATAATGGCTCCCAAAGGTTACCTCCAGTACCTCCCAGTTTCACAATAATCAACTATGGATCTATATCTATGAACTTATTTAAACTTTTTTGGATTTAGATTTATGAATTGAATTATTATGGTAATTAGTTCCATAAGATGGTTACCTATCATGGGAAGGTAGCTTCTTTATATTAAGTTTATGTTTCTTTTTCATTATTTCACAGGCCAAAAAATGAACTCCATTTATTCCTGTGAACAAACTGTTATGGATATCAAGACAATGTCGATGAGACATAATATTCCCAACCAAGAGTCATTTTATGAATGTGCAAGAATACTTTATTCTTAAATTACATTGCATTTGTCACTTTTATAAAAAGTTGCTTTTCCAAGGGAAGTTCAGCAAAACAGATTAAATCTTATTCTGTGATTTCTCCTTCTTTTGAACAAGTGCAGCTTCTACTTGGTTAGGAATAATCATGCTGTTAACCTAGCAAAGTAAAAATGAATCTTATTTCCAGGGTCATATTTTTGTGCAGATATGTTTGGGAAGAGTAGCTATTCTCTAAATGCCACTTCCTTGAAAAGTACCTTCTTCACCAAAGGAGAGAACTTCCAGTCACCCTATTTCTTCATGCAACAATGTATTCAACAAACATTTCTTAAGTGACTGTTATGCTCAAGGCATTGTGCTTAGGGTAGGAAAATAAATGAGCTACAGTACCAGTCCTGGCAGAGGGGATGGGGAGAAGAGCTTGGAATGAAGTTGATTTCCTGAAAAATGGTGAATAAGTTGAGATCTCTTTGTTCTTATAGTATACTGCTTTGAATTTGAGGGGCTCTTGTGCTGGGTAGAATATAGCTACGATGAGAAAAGAAAATCTAGGAAATTTCAAGGCTCTAGCAAGTTGAAGAACAAAATTGTTCCAGTCCTAGAAAGATAAAAATCTATCATGAAGTACTTATTGAACACTTACTATGTGCATAGCACAGTGTTTGGCACTTATAA